GGGGTCAATGAAAGCTGCACCCTCCTGCCCACCCTCCGGGGTTCCTGCAGGACAGAGGAGAGCGTGCGTGTGAGCCCAGTCTAAAGCCGCCCTTGCCCCGCCCCCTGCACCCAGGTGGGCACCAGGAAGAGGGCAAGCGTCCGCAGGTGACTGCTGAGTGGAGAAGATGGGCCCCATGGGCCCCGAGACCCGAGACCCGCTACGCTGTGAACTAGGCGGCCCTGACTGGCCAGTCCTGCTGATGCTCTAACCACTATCGCTCCACCTCCAAATAGGGGCGTCCTGAGATGCTCACGGAAGAACGCGCGTGGAGCAAGACTCTGGGGCTGGGGTTCCCGTGGGATCGTGTCCAGTCCATGAGGGAGGGGCCGCGGGGAATTCAACGTCAAGGCTGTCCTGGGAGCCTCCGGCCACGCCCTGCCCAGCTTGGGGACACTCAGACAGGCCCAGCTGCCAACAGTGTGTCCTGGCTGGAAGTGCCGGGGTCCCCAGGATCTTTCACCTTGCCAGTCACGGCCGCGGATGTGTCCAGCTCCCTGGCAGCTTTTGCTGCAAGAGAGGTGCTTGGCAGAGCCAGAAGAACTGGCCCCACCACTGAAAACCGATTATGGTCCACTTTGCATCCCCGGGGAGCTGGGGAGCTGGGACAACCGCTGAAAATCCTCCTTGAGGATTCTCCCCAGAGGCTCTCTCTCATACATCCACACCCTGCAGCTGCCCAGGTTTCCCTGAGACCCCTCTAGACTAGGGAAGCTTGGCTTTGGGGCATTGCTGCTGACTGGGCTGGACTGTCTCTAGGGGATTGTGACCCTAAGAATTCTAAAAATCCGACAGACCTTTGTGTGTGTGGGGGGGGAGGGTGGTGGAGGATCGGAAGGGCTCCCGGATCCCAGGGTGTTGGGGCTCCTAAAACATGCCTTGACCTATGCCTTCCTGCAACTTAGAATCTAGATTCTTGTTGGGGCTTCCTGTCAGCGAGGATCTTCATTCTCAGGGTCATGCCCCCCCCCACTGCCCAGCACCCCCCACATCCCCAGTACCCCCAGCTGGCTGCTCGATCCTTCTGCCTAGACTCCCTCTTCCTCCTTGACATCCTCAGAGAGGCCTTCTCTGGAGTTCTCCTATTTTCCTAGTTGCTGCCAAGCAAGCCACCAGCCACCTAGAGGAAGGCTGGGGTGTGGTCGCCAGGGAGATCTCGCCCTTCCCCCCAGGGCAGTGAGAGTCCTCAGGAGGCAGAAATAGGAGTGGGTATTTGTTCACTCATTTAATGCATGTTTGCTGGTGGCTACTATGTGCAGGGTCCTGACTAGGCTTTAAAGTGAAAACAGGGAAGACATGGCTTTCACTCCAGACGGACTGGAAGAGACACAAGAAGCAGAGGAGGGAGTCAGGGTGGGCGTGGGCTCTTGGGAGGACTGCAGAGATAGCAATGTCCAAACTGAGCTTCTGAGTCCATAATTGTCCCCACCTTTAGCCCCACAGAGACAGATGGCTCCGGGAAACTGCGTGGGTGCTCTAGCGACACCCACCCTCTCCCTCCGGCAGTGATGCGAGCACCCAACAGGGCTTTGTCCACACAGAGCCTGCTGCTCCAGGACTTACCAATGGTCCTGTTGGCGTTATCTGGCTAGAGTGAGGTCTGGAGCGTGATGTGGGTGTGGCTGCCGGGGAAGCAGCCAAGGGGGCTCCCTCCTACTGCAGCACAGGGCAACTTCCCTCCCCAGGGCTGTCTCAGTCACCAGGTAACTGCCTCTCCTTGGGGGCACAGGTCCCCTCGGAGGAGCTAAAAGCCAGAGGCAGACAAACCTGTTTGTCTCCGTGCCCCTGTGATTTTCAAGTCTGGTCCCTAGGAAACCAGAAGCACCAAGCTGGGCCCTGCCTTTGGCTCAAGCTGGCGACTTCACCTCCTGGAGCCTCAGTTTCCCCATCTGAAAGATGTCATGAGTAACAGTGCTGTCTTTCTGGAGTGGCTTCCAGAGTCAAATATCAATTCATCTGCTCCAAGTGCCAGAAATGACAATGCCAGCCTCAAAAACTCTCAGGCTTTGCTGATAGAGGCCCTCTAGGAAGACCATTACTGGTGTTTGCCAATTTATACAAGGTAGACATCCCACACGGCCGATTTCAAGCCATCAGTAACTCAGCAAGGAGCTTGCCGGGTGCCCTGTATTTAATATAGTTCTGCACAGGCCAGCTCAAGCCTGGCATATTCAATCACCATGGACTGTAAAGGCTCCGAATGCCCATATATGTTGTTCCCGCATTGGCTATGGAGAGCCTGAGATGCGGGAAGCCATCACATCTTTCCATTGGGTACCAGATGCTTTGGGGGGCCTGGAGAGACAGCAGGCACACCCCTGTTTTATTGGTGTGAGACCTCAGTGAGCTGAGTTAAAACATGGATTTGAACTGAGCAGCCATCTCTATGATACTTGAGAGTGGGGTGACTGACTCCCCAGGTTTGCACATGCCACAAGGGGCACAGGGCAGTCTTCTTAATCCACAGGCCACTCACTCCAAGAAGGGACTTTTGGTGCCAACCAGCTTGACGGTCTGACCACATCAAACAGGAAACCATCATCGAGGCTCTTGACAAATCCTCCCAAGAACACAGGTGTTCTGGTTCAGGCCTGTGATGCCAGACCAGGCAGGCTGAGGCAGGAGGACTGCTGGGACTTGTAACCAGCCCTGGGATACATACTGAGACCCTGCCCAGACACAGAGGTCTGAGGCTATGGCTCAGTTAGTACCACATGGTTCTACCCCCAAGCCCAGCATCAACCAGGCATGGTGGAGTACTCCTGTAATCCCAGAATTTGGGAAGTGGAGGCAGGAGGGTCAAGAACCTGAGGCCATCCTTGACTACACAGAATTCAGGCCAACCTGGGCTAC